TGCATGAATTCATTCATAAATGAATCATGTATAAGAATCCCATATCTCTAAAAATCCTATGTATTCAAAACTGCCCTGTATGCCAGACCCCCCCCTATCGTTGCCCCTCACTTGGAGGGAGGGGTGCCAACGGCAGGCGCCAGGCTGGCGCCAGGGAGGGCCGCGCCTTGACCCCGGGCGCCAAGGGTGCCGTGCCTGCCCTCTCGTGCGCGCGGGCCCCTCGGAGCCCCGCCCGCAGCGCCGTCGGGCCCGGCCGCGTGGCGCCCCTCCTGCGAGCGAGAGGAGACCTCAAACGACGCGAAGATCGGGACAAAATCGGATCTGGATAACTCGAAATCTCTGAGCATCGGCGGGTTTGGAGGATGTATTGGGCGCCGCGGCCGCTCCAGAGCGTTCCGGAACGCTCTGAGAGCGCTCCGGAACGCTCTGGAGCGATTTATCCCGATCCTAGCCCTGTTTTAAGACCGCTGGCGACGGCGAGGGCGGCGAGGACGGCGGCGACGGCGGCGACGGCGGCGGCGACGACCAGAGGACCAGAGGGCCCAGTCCCCATCGGTTCTGGAAGACATCACGAGCGTGGAAGGTTGTTCGCTGTAGTCAGCCTCTGGGCTTCCTCTATAGGGGCCCCCGGGGCCCTCAGCAAGCGACTCGGGATGGAACACCGGTCCCCCGGAAGGGGGCGAGACCTCTCTCTGGGGGTCGACTGTATGAACAAAAGCCATGGCGTCGGGCGTCTGGGGAGGAGGAGGTACCGATGCCGCGTCCCTCCCCTCGTCGCCACGGCCTGCTGAGTCGTCTCGAAGGCCTGGTCAGGACGCGCCTCGGGAGAGGGCCGTGGCGTGGCGGCATCTGGCGGCAAGGGCGACGGCGACGCCGGCGGGGGTGGCGGCTGCGGTGAAGTCGGGCCTGTCCCCCTACAGGGGGATTTGGGACAAAGAATTAAACATTCCCAACGCATATCCCAAAAGGGTCAAAACAAATGTGCCAAACCTCGTCCCCTGACTATTTCTCATCTATTCTTGAAGATTCCCCCTGTAGAGGGACAGGCCCGACCCGAGGCCGCGGGCGGCGTCTTCCGGTGCCAGCCCAGCCTCGGCGGGCTTCGGGGGGGGCTGGCGGCGCGAGGCGGGGGCCGGTGCTGGGGGGGCGGCCCTCGCAGAGGGCAGGGGGTCCGCAGCGGGCCTCCGGCCCGGCAGGGTATGCATCCGCGCCCCGCGGTCTTGAGACGTGCGGGGCGCCAGGCACCGGCTGCGCGCCGCCCGAGGGGCAGCACCGCCCAGGCACGCAGCCATTCGGGGCGGGAGGGCAGCATCGCTGGTGCACCTTCTGGTTCTCCTTGATGGGGCAGGCAGGGGCGCCCATTTTTGAGCCTCCTCCTCGACCGCGTGCGCGCGCAGCCTCCGGGAGGGCATGGCGGAGCCGGACTACTACAAGCTGATCGGCGTGGCGCGGGACGCCAACCTGCACGAGATCCGGTCGAAGTTCCGCGCCAAGGTCTTGGCGGAGCACCCCGACAAGGGCGGCGACCCCAAGAAGTTCCAGCTCCTCAACAAGGCCTACAACGTGCTCACCGACGCGGAGAAGCGGAAGCGCTACGACTCAACTGGCCGCGCGGAGAAGTCTCCCGAGGAGGAGTTCGTGGATGGGTTCGGGGGCGGCCGCCTGAAGTTCGAGCCTCGCACCAAGGATGCCGACGACAAGGCCATCGTCAGCCTGCAGGACCGGATCATCACAGGCGCTCAGACCCACGAGGAGGGCTTCGCTGCGTGGCTTCGGCAGCGGGACCAGGAGTCCATGGTGCTGACCGACAAGGACTTCCTGAAGAGCCACCTCTACAACGCCGCGGAGCTCTCGACGAGGATCCATCACTCGACGCCCGTGCTGCACGTGATGGGGACGCCGAAGCTGGACGTGTACGAGCAGCCGATGCGGGGACCTGTGGAGGTAGAGGTGAGGCCGCGCGCGCTTAAGAAGACGATCGAGCACGACGAGGTGCTTGTGCGGATGCTGGCCGTGCCCGTGGACGAGTCCATGATCTACGCCGACCTCAGGAAGGCGGGCGCCTGCCTCGGGAACGTGGGCGTCGGGCGCGTGGAGCAGGCGGGGACGCGCGTGGAGGACCTGAAGGCGGAGGACGCCGTCCTGATCCTGCCGAAGCCGAGCAAGTTTCCCAGCGACCGCCCCCTCGGAACCGCGCGGACGCTGGTGCAGTGCAGCGAGGAGGACGTGTTCCGCATCCCAGCGGCGATCCTCGAAGAGCTGACCCCAGAGCAGATCTGTCTCGCGCCCACCATTGCGCAGGCCTACGAGGTCCCAGGCCTGCCAGATGGGGTCCGGGCAGGTGGGGTCAGATGATCGCGCTGCATCGCCGAGGCATCTGCGATGCGGCTCGATGCGGGGCCCGACTTTCTCCACTCCGACGGCGCCGACGCACCGCCGACTGCGCCAGCCGATGCATCGCCGACGCATCGGTTTAGCGGCGCGATGCTTCAGCCCCGTCTGCCCGGACCCCCTCTGGGAGGCCCCCAGAGGTGCTGGAGCAGTACGGGAGGAGGCTGAAGCCAGGTGACATGGTGCTGCTCAACTCGGCGCACCTTTCCGCGGCCGGCTCCTCCCTCCTCCAGCTTTGCAAGCTCCTGAAGCTGAAGCCGCTGTGCATCCTGTCGCTCCCGGGCGCGCCGAGGAACCTCGTGAAGGGGGAGCATGGCACGAAGAGCGCCTGGCAGGATGCCGACCACCGCGCGACCGCGCCCCCGACTGTCCGAGCGCAGTACGAGCGCATCAGCGAGCTGCTTGTCACCATGGGTGCCGAGGAGGTGTTTCCAGACGCCGTGGCGCTGCTCAGGTGGCGCGACCGGAACCAGCGGCTGCTGCCAAAGCTCGCGCTCGACGGCTTGGCCACCAGGGACTCGTGCGAGCAGCTCATCCACTGTCTCCAGCCAGGGGGCAGAGACGCACAGCTTGTCGTCTGCGGCCACGGCAGTGCACAGCCGCTGGACATCTCGCCCACGCTGCTGGCAGCCTGGGGCGGCAGGGTCGTGGGCTTCAGCCTCAGCAGATGGGTTCACTCGAGTTCCGCGAACGCGAAGAAGATGATGACTGTCATGGAGAACGTGACGAAGCTAATACGGGCCAACAAGTTTCAGGTCGACACCTGCCTCTACAAGGTGGGCGAAGACCCCATCGGGGACGCCTTCTCACGCGCGTCCGATGCTTCGGAGAACGCGCAGGTTGTGCTGATCTTCCCGACCCTCCAGGAGGAGCACGAGAGCTACACCCAGCACGAGAAGGCGGAGAAGGAGAGGAAGGCCGTGGAGAAGGAGCAGCAGGAGAGGCAGCGGAAGGAGACGGAGGAGCGGCAGAAGCTGAAGATGGAGTGGCTCAACCTTCTCTTCACGGATGCGAGCGTTGCCGCCATGAACCCCGAGGAGCCCTTGCGAATCAGCCAGGAGATCGGCAACCGATCCAGCCCGAGCCTGATGATAGCCTTCGTCGGCGACGACCCCGTGGTGGACGACAGGGCCCTCAAGGAGATGCCCCAGTACTGCAAGGATGCCGTGGTGGTCAATGTGGCCTGGACCGAGCACCCCGCCAGCGAGGCGTTCAGGGATTTCGACCTCGAGAGTGACGAGGTCACCGACGGCACGTGGTACCAGCGCAGCAGGGCGACGCTCGAGAACGAGGACCTGGACACCTTGCACGACGTGGAGCTGCTCGGCCGTTCGCTGGTGGAGACGCTGAGAGCGAAGCTGGAGCAGCACAAGCTGGACTGGAACCGCCTCGTCCTCGCCGGCTTCGGCCATCGGGGGCAACGATAGGGGGTGGGGAGGGGGTAGTCTCGGGGAGGATGCATCGACCCCCAATCGCCTATTGATCGCTGATAGGGGACAGTAGCCCCAGCCCTCCCAGGACCGTGCGGGCTTGCTGTCGGCGGCACATCGCCGATCCATCGGCGATGTATCGCCGGTTCCAGGTCCCTGCTACCCCCCCTGTGCCAGTTTCCCGCCCCCCTTAGCGCTGCCCCTCAGGCAAGGGCGCGGGCATCGCGCTGTATGCGCAGCTGATGCGGCTGCTGCCGAGGCCCTGCCACTCCATGGCGCTGTTCAGCCCGGTGGTGCTCTTCCCCGCGTTCGCGGTCGAGAAGAGCGGGACGCTGGCGCGCCACGCCGGGCCGAAGGTCAAGGTCTTCGCCATCTGGGGCAGCGGGGCCAACCGGACGACCCCGGCCAGCTACCGGCAGCTCCTGCCCGCGTCCCTGCGGAAGCTCACGGGGGAGCTGCACGTCACCGCGGACACGATGCCGGAGGGGACGAGCCAGATGTCGGAGAGATATCCGGAGGGGCTTCGCCCCCTGCCGCCAGGCCCCCTGGCTCGAGCAGGAGATGGACTGCAGAATTGATTTGCCCCAAACTTGACTTCCTTGGTCGAGTCAACCAGCAAGACGTATTCCGTCAAAGAATAAGCTTGCGGGCAAATCAATTCTGTAGCCGATTTCCTACTCGACTGGTGGGCTCGTGGCCTCACGGTAGCTGCGCCGGCGTTCATGGGCCCCTCCGCCCTGGGTAGCCTCCTCGGGGGGGCCTCCCGGGGCGCCCCAGGGGGGGGCACTCCCAGCAGGCCCCATCCCGCCCAGACTTCTCACGCTGTGTGCTTCCCGAAGTCTTCCATGGCAGGCCGTTTTTGTTTGTACCCCGTGAGTTTCCCTCAGCGATCCACGGGCTGCAACGCAGGGAAAGCGTGAGGATCGGGCGGTAGTGCCTGGGGCAGTCAGGGGTGATGCCGGGGATGCGAGCCGCAGGCGGCTGCCTGGCTTCGCCTTTGCGTTCCCCGCCCCACCCCCGATGCGCGAGCCCGCGGCCCGTGCCTGCTCTCCTCGTGGCCGATGCGCGAAGCGCGGCGGGCGCGCGTCGACTCGAACGAAGAGTGTGGCGATCCCGCCGCGGGATCGCCGCACTCTTCGTGGAGAAGCCTCCGTGGGGTTCCCGCCGCGAGGGAGAAGC